TCCCCCCACCCCCCCCGTTCTACCATAACAAAGCTATGTGAACTTGACAAACCTTGTAATATCTTTGGCTCTTAACCTCTTTGTCTGTAAGATTAGATTGAATCCAAAGTGCTTTTCTGTAGTTAATACAGGTAATACTTTACTTCTGAAGGCAAGAGTGCAAGCCACTTTATTAATTTTTATTTATCCATTCAATGTTTTTTTATTGCTTCTTGAGCAAGCTCCGTGTGAAGCACTGTGATGAAACAAATGTGATACAAGATATAGTTTCCGCTTCCAACGTTGTGGAAAAACAAACAAAATTTTATCTAACAGACGTTTAGAGAATAGTAGCCCTTAGGAGTGGTATGACCATCAGAACAATCACATCTTTAAGGTTTGTCTATCTCTGCTTGCCAACCTCAGTTTTACTTCATTTTAAGGTTAGTTCCTCTTGTGGTTGCAACATTGCTGCCAGTGGCAATTGGGGTTACAGGCTGACTTGTCCATACTTGGTGAGAAAAAGAATTCTTTACCTGTCACAGACTAAAAATATTTCCCTTCAATCTTATTGGGTCAGTTTATTCTAGGACTATAATGGTTTCCAGGTATATTAGTTAGAATAATCTAGGACCTATCAGAATCTAGATTCTAGACAATACTATAGTAAAAAATAATCCCAAATTTCAGTGGCTTTAAAAACTAAGGTGTATTTCCTACTCAAGCTGTAGAGCCATCCTGACTTGATGGGAACAGGTGACGGGCTGCTCCACACTGTCCTTCTTTGGGGAAGCGTAAACACTGTAAAGACTTATTATTATTCTACCTGGAAGTGACATGCATTACTTCTACCCATAACCCATTGGCTATAACTAGTCACATGGCCCAACCCAGCTGCAACGGAGGTGGTAACAGAGAGTGTGTGGGGAAGTATTATCTTTTTCTATGCCTGGAAGGAGAAAGTTAAGCATTGCAAGACTCTACCATACCAGGTAAACATCTTTCTTGTTTCTTTGCTTTCAGCTTAGCTCTATCTTACATCAGCAACGACATCCCTTGTTCCATGCCCTCTTCTGAATTCAGCTTGAATTTCTGACAATTCCCTGTCAATATACTGTTGCAACCATTTTTGAATTATCTTCAGAAAAATTTTACTTTGGTCATGTTGTCAGAAGGGACCAGTCCCTGGCGGAGGATATCATGCTTGGAAAAGTAGAAGGGCAATGAAAAAGGGGAAATCCCTCAACAAGATGGGTTCAACTCAATGGTTGCAACAATGAGCTCAAGCATAACAAAGACTGTGAGGTTTGTGAGGATGGCGCAGGACAGGGCAGCGTTTAGTTCTTTAGTACATAGGGTCGCTATGAGTCAAAACCGAATTGATGGTACCTAACACCACCACCACACTTGTTGTTGTTGTTATGTTCCGTCGAGTCGGCCCTGACTCATAGTCGACCCCTCCTTGGGTTTCCGAGGCAGTATCACTACGGAAGTAGGATTGCCCAACCTTCCTTCCGAGGAGTGGCTGGTGGGTTTGAACCGCCAGCCGTCTGGTTAGCAGGCAAGTGTCTTAGCCACTATGCTACCAGAGCACCACCACACTAGGAGAACTTATTTACTGTTTGACTCAGGCTAATTGGGATGTTCTTCTGTAGCTGGAGTTTCAGTGGTTACCTGAAAAATGAATAAACAAACCAAAAACAAGGCATTCTATTATTAAGGAAGAAACAGTAGATTTTTTTTAATTTCAAATTTTTTATTGTGATTTGGGTGCAAACTTACAAAGCAGATTTGTTTTACTCTCACGCACATTTGGTTTCACCGGCTGATTACAATCCCAACAATAAAAAGCTCTCCTCCCCTCTCCTCCCCGTGAGCACCCCTTCCTTGTGCCCTTCTTCTCTAAGCATTCCTGCCTATCCAGCTTTCCTTCTATGCAAATACTGCCCTTCTGGTGTCTCACAGTTGATTGATCTAAGGGGTGTATTTCCCTAGGATAGGTGGGTGCATCTCCCTGGGGCAGGTGTTCTGCTCCTTGGCCTTTTCACTGTTTTGCTGAGAGTTAATCCACAAAAGTGAGTCCAGTTCCAGTCCTGAAGGATAACCTGGGGCCATAGTCTTAGGGGTTCCACCAGTCTCTATTTGACCAGCAGTTCTGGTAATTTTTGTGTTTTTGAATTTTGTTCTGTAGTGGATGAATAAGAAATTTAACCCAAGCAGAGAAGATTGAAATTTCAGCCATGGTGGCAAGCCATAGAGAAGAATAGTTTGGCTAGATTTCATGAGTCTTCAAATCAATTAATGTACACTTCTGAGTGGAAAGATTGGCTCTGGCTCTTTAATGAGTGGGTGTACATACACAGTTTCTGTTTAAGGAGATGGCTCAAAAGTCACTTAAAACATTTATTTGAAAATATAGACTGTTTTTGCATATTTCAGTATTGAAGTTACTGTCAATCGTGTGTCAGCTGGCTACATTAATAGTTTTAAAACTGGCAAACAATTAAAATGTATCTAGTCTAACCTCTTTATTTTACAGATGAGATTAAACCCATGTGGGTTATTTCAAGGTCCTATCTTCTTGTCTGTGGCTATTACAGTGCTGTCTTTTGGATGATTTCCTGCAAAATGAGATTCACTAAGTAAAAAATAGCTAGAGCAACAATTAGAGAACAAGGACAATCAAAAATTACTAAGAATGTTTCCAGAGCTGACATTCAGTCGGTACACTCAGATAGAGATTGAAAACTTTCTAAACTCTTTGGTAAGGAGCTGCTGCTGAACTTCTGAGAGCCTTCTCAACCCCTCGCTGGGACCCATAGTTCTCACTGCTGTAATAATCGGACTCACGTCAAAGGGCTGATTTGAGAAATTAAATGATATAGGTAGAGAGTTGAGCACAGGGTCTGGACTCAGCAGTATTAAACCTTAGTTATTATCTTTATTACAGTTATTAATAGAATGGTAGTAAATTTCAAACTAGTTTCTACATGAATATTCACAACTTTGGAAAAGTGACGGCATTCAAGTTCATTAGCTTTTACCAACAAAATGTTCACTCATGTACTCTCTTTAACTTTCATTTTGATCTTTTCCATTGCCTAAGGGTTGGCTCTTGTTTGCCCCACTAAGACTCAACAGCTCTGATTGATGACTAAAAATTTGACCCAGGCTGTGTAAAAGAAAATAATATACTGTGAAGGTCCTGTTATTTCTTAGTATAGCTCGTTATGGAGAATATTCTGTACAATCTTTTGTTGAGCATCACTTATCTTAAAGTCTGGAGATAGGCAAAGATAGGCCTGAAGCCTAGTTTAGGGAGGAAAGCGTAGAAGAGGAGGTAAATCAAGTCTATTTGCTTAAGTAAACATCAGAAATCAGGGGTGAGAGGCAGAGTTAAGCAGCTGAGGCAAGAAGAGAAAGAGAGTAAGAGGGCCTTCCAGCAGGGTGGGAATCAGAGGCTTATGAAGAGAACACCCTTTAGCAGAGATGCCTTCTGGTGGCCAGTGATTTTGTGGCATGCTTTCTCTCAGGAATTTCATCTGGCAAGAAAAAGGCAGATTTTCAGTAATACTCCTTTCTAGAGAGAGTAAAAGAAATGATTTTTTTTTTTCTTTTTTAAAAGCTGAGACAGTTGTCTATACTGAGAAGCAGACTCCACACCCGTTATAAGTGAATTTTCTGGCAATTTGTTATTGGCCTGGACCTTAGGTGTAAAGACTTGTTCTCAAATGTCAGTTGTTGAACTGATACTTCCAGTTCTAGGAAGGCAGCTAAATCCTGGCCATGCCCTAGAAAGGGCTTTGATAACAGAATTCTGTCACAGGCTGACAAGCACATTGACTCAACAAAGCAGCGGTAGAAATTGCTGAAGAACTAGTTTCTCAGTGTATTCCAGAGGTATCAAAGTTATTCAATATTTTAATATACATTACCTCATAAAAAACACACCAAATCCTGGACAAATATTCCTAGGACTTTTTTTTTTGAGAGGAGGGAATTGGGAAAGATAAATGTACTCCCTAGGTTTTCAGAGGGAAAACTGAAAATCAGGTATAAAAACTGATGTGATTAGGCAAATGTAAAATAAAGCTCTAAACTTGGAGGTCTTTAAGTATATAAATATTATACAAGGTAAACTATAAGGATTGTTAACTAACCAGAAATCGCTCTTTCCTTTCTTAAAAAAAAAAATTAAGTTACACAAGCTTGTTAAAATATTCAAAAAATACTGTTTGAACTAAAAGGTAAATATCCACTCCACCTCAGACTTCTAAAAATTATCTTGAGCATATATGGTAACCTCTTTAGTGGAGGGTAACATTCATGCATGCAATAAATGACTGCTGAATAATTTTTGAATATTGGCGTGTCTGAGCTAGAATATCCATTTTTGTGTGACTCTGAACAAGTCACTCTACTTTCCCCTCAACTTTCTTTTACAGGGATTTAACAATAACAAAAAGAACTGTGAACTATTTCAGAGAAAGCTTTCTCCTTAGAGGACTGACTTAAATACCAGTCACAAGGTCCAGCAAAGCCTTCTTCACAACCTGAGCTGCCTGGGGACAAAGTATTGTCCTTCTTGAATCAGCCGTATTTTATTTGTATATCTGTAATACAGTTCCTGACGTATAAAACGGTGCCAGAAAGCATTGTGAATTACATGAATGTAATCAGGTACATTGCAGACTTGGCAAGCTAGTGCCTCTTTCATCTCTATTCTGTGATCTTTTTCTTATTTAGCACCTAAAAGGCCTTCCTTGTTTGTCTGGGACAAGAATCTAAGTAATTGCTCTAAAAAATACTCAAAATATTTTAATTCCTCCTGTCTTGAAGGAACCATTTCAGCTTGGCACGGTACTGAGCCCCAGATTGGGATCTGGGTCTGATGGCTACAGAGGCGAGTACGGGACGGGAAGCTCATTTTCTGGCCCTCTGATTGGTCGACTTGCACTCCACTCACGCTGCTCCCGTGTCTGATTGGCCATAGAGGTCCCCCCCCCCCACCGGCTCGCGACTTTGTGTGCTGGGGAGGTGAGTTTAGGTCCTCCCGCTCAGCTCCAGGTTTGGGCAGGTGTGAGATAGCCCTTCGATTCACTGCTCTGCATCGCAGGCGCAAGGAAGTCCCCGAGCCCAAGCGGGTAGGCTGCATCCCAGGGAAAAGCCTCCGCCCTTTCTCTCGACTCACTGTTCTCTTTCCTTACTGAACAAACTTCCGCCTTAGAGGGGCTGCCGCAGCCGCTATGTATAGGCCGGGCATCTAACTCAGGTCCTCTTTTTTTTTTTTTTTTTTGGGGGGGGACTTTCTTTTCGAGAAAATTTGGAAACAGCACTGACAAGATAAAATAAGTCGCATGCGGGGGCGCTGCAGTTCTCTGATCACGCTGCTAGCTGCATCCGAGCGGCCGGTCGTGGGCTGCAGCGTTTCCTGATCATCAGAGACCACCCCCAAAAAGTAGCAAGGCGCTGGCTTCAAATCCCCAGTACCGAAACGGTGGTGGACTGCACTGGCATGGCCCGGTCCGTTTCCCGGCAGTCTACAGAATACAGCATTCCCCGGAGGTGGCTCTCCTGTGTGTAGAAAGCTCCTCTCAACTCGCGCCCCTTTTAGTCTCCGGCCTCAGATGATAGAGGGCGGCCTGTGCTTGTGTGCCAGTCGGCGTCCGCGCGCGTAACTGCTGCCCTGCAGAGCTCTCCCCGTCCTACCGTGGCCCGCTGCTCTGCTTGGCAGTGGATGCCGCAGCTACTCTAGCCACCAGCTCTGCGAGGAAGGGGGCGGGAAGAAGCCTTGGCACAAACCAGGGTCGCTGTAGGTGGCGGCGGGCGGCGCATGCGCTCCCTGTCCCAGACGCCTGGAACGCTAAGGGGCGCGCGCCCCCTTCCGCGCGCGCACGCTTGCGGAGCCAAGGCTTGCCTGCCTGCACTCGTTGTCAGAGTCGCTCCGGCGCGTGCGCGCGTTATCTCCGGCCGACCGGAGTAGCCCAGTTCCCTTCGCTCTAGGCCCCCGCCCCCAGCCGCTCCCTCCCAACCCCCAGTCAGCCGGTCCCCTTCCTCTCCTCGCGGAATGGGGCCGGCGCTGCTCGGGGTCGCGCGTACTGGACCCGGCTCGCGCTTGGTCTCGCGCTGTCAGAGACTGCCCGGGTCGCGCCGCCTCGCGCTCTCCCTCAGTCTGTGGCGCCTAAGGCTCCGTTAAGCGGCAGCAGTGGTTCCTGTTTCCGTTTCTTCCTCTCCCTTCAGTCGGGAGTAGCATCCTCCACCCAGCCACCCCTCCCACTCCCCCGGCGCGGGGCAGCTGCGGCTGAGGGCTGTGGCGGCGCCGGCAGCGACTGGAGACGGCGCAGACCGCCTCTGCTCCGGTCTCGGGTAAGGGGACGTTTGGGAGCCGGGCCCCGCGCTCCTCGGGTCTTGGGCTAGGCAAACGCCGGATCTGAGGCGCCGGGGCTGTAACTGGGGACTGTCGCTGCTCCTTTCCCCAGGCATCCCCGGGCCTGTTATTGCAACTGATGCTTATCCAGCGGCTCCCGGAAAAGTGGGGAGGGAGCCCTCGGGACGTTCTGGCGGGTGCCTTGGCGCCGGCAAGGGGGCGCGGGCGGGGGATGAGGGGCGTCGGTCTCCCTTGCCGGGACGCGGAGCTGCGCGGTGTTTGCCCTCGGCGTCGCGCATCCTTGCTCAGGGTAGGGGCCGAAGCTGAGGAGAATAGATGGAGGCGGGGTGGGAGGTGCCCCTCTTCGCTTCCCTACACCCACCTCCCTTTTTTCAGCAACTCGGTCCCCTGTACTCGCGGACTATGGCGAGGAGGATACTTGAGTGATGGGGTTTCCGTGAGGGCTTCTCGGGCTGTTGATCGGGGACCTACACAAAGATCGCTCCCACTGAGAGGCCACTGCTGGGGCAGTTAACGGCGGGAGTGCGGTCGCACCGCCTTTTGATGTGGAAATGATGAGCTGGCGACTTTTGAGTATCTAAACTTATTTGGGAAGGTTAAATACGTCCATGTTTATTAGTTACAGGAGGTTTGCCCAGCAAAAGTGAGTGGGTTGTCTGGTGCAGCACCTGTTCTTCTCAAACTGTGAAGATTGCAACCTTCAGTTACACGGAACGCGTGAGACGCAATGCATTTTTTTTTAAAGTTAAATGGCAGTGTCATGGTTAGAGTTTATCCCTGGTGAGCTTTTAGTTTGAGGCCTTGGATAAGAGGAGGGGAATCCCCGAATCCCCCCCCCCCACGTTTGTATTAATTCAAGTTTACTTAAGCTAACTCAGGAAGGTGAAGCCAGGAGAGTCACAATATCCAATAGGTAACTCCAAACCTTAAGGTTCCACAGAACAAATTTCTAGGAAAGTTTTTAAAATCAGTTTAGAGTTAAGCTTATCCAAGTAACTGAGTTGACTTTGGCTTGACTCTCTTTAGAAATTGTAGGCAGGTTTCATTGTAGTTTGTGTGTGTGTGTGTGTGTGTGTGTGTCCCGTTAATCCGGGGGTTAAAGTGCTTATTTATTTTCTTATTAAATTTTGTGTTTTATACATAATTATTTAAATGATGCATCATATAGAAAGCATTTTAGGAGAGAAAATAACATTTCAGAGCTGTACTGAAATAATGCAGTAAGTTGTAACCTCCCTTCTTTATAATAACTTAAAATTCTTTGCCAAGAATAAGATTCTGTACATTGCTAGCCTTGTGTAATGTACTATAAAATGTGTGTAGAAAGTTTAAATTATTTGATTTATAAGTACTATAGTAGTAAGTATAAGGTGGGAAGTCAAACATTTGAGATTATGATTTTACAGGCTTAGTATATAAAAGTTCCCTTAGTAAGGAATTAGAAAGAGGCTATAAAGAGTATTGTAAGCTGGTTAGAGGCATGGATTTTCATTTTGCTGCTTTATAAATTGAGAATTCTTGAATTGAAGAGCTGAACAGCTGGAAAGAAACTTGTATAGATTGCAGAAGCAGATGCAAAAATGTATCTTTATCTTTGATCAAGTAGTGAACTGACATGAAGTGGCATATTGTGGCTTATTAGGATAGTGATTCAAATTAATTTCTGTAAAATATGGCACTATATAGATTATGTTTTAGGATATTTTTAATTTTAACTAAAAAGCAACTGGAAGTTGTTTTCCTACATATTGATTCTATTTAAAATGTATGGAATTGAAAAAACAATTATCCTGTTTATATTCTGCAGTGTTTTTGTTGCTAATTTTAATCGATTACTTTTAAGAAATTGGAATATGCTTTTAAAAGTGGTGAATTTTGCTAATGGTTTGAAAAAACTTGTGTTCCCCATTTGTTTATTTTTTGAAATGTAGTTATATTACTAGGTTGGTCTGGAGGGGGAGCTAGTGCCAAAGCAAAATATAGCCTAATAGGTATTTGAACTTTTAAAAATCTAAAACCAGATTTCTGTGCCCAGGAGAAACACATTTTTTTGGTTTGTTTAATTGAAAGAAAGGAATTGATAGAGCATTTGTGTGTACTTCTTTATTAGTGGAGTATATACATTGTATATTACAAATGAGTTTAAATTATCTTTATGATAGGAAACAATGGAAAGTAAATGCTTTCAATTGGTTGAATTTCTCCTGTAAAAATCTCTGAAAATGTATCCCAAAACTTGTGATAATATATTCTTAACCTTCTTGTGCAGTGTAAAGACAAATCTAGAAGGGAAGGAGTGTATCCCTGATCCTTTGTGAATGTTTTATATTCAAAATTTTTTCTTTATAATGACTATAGTCCTAAAATTTCTAAAAATGTCAAGGAGAGTCTTCTATGGGCAACAGTATGAATTGTGTAGTAAGCTAGGGATTTGTCAAAAGTAGAGATATTTAAACAAAGAAATGGACCCTTCAGACATTTGGAGAGTGGGATCCCAAGGTCACTTCTTAACTGCTCCCTCCTTCAATATAACACAGTGAGTCCAGCATACTCACTAATTGAATCTCTTGTATCTTTGAATGTGAAGCAGTTACTTTGGTACTTTATTTAGATTTCTAAGCTGTAATCAGCTACATATGTTATTTACTTCTGACAGTTCACATATTCTTCAAATCCAAGCCTGGAAGTTGATAATGATGTGTGTATATTAATATCATTAGAATATTCAGTGCTTTGAGGATAGTGGTTGGGCTATTTGCTATCCCTAGCTCTTCATTATGTAAATAGAATCACAGTGCTGATAAGGCAAAAAAAAAAAAAGATTCTTTTAAAGGAATAACAACATCTGTGAAATAAAGACTATTGAGGCTTACAATTTTGAAAGGTTTAAAGCTATAAAGTAAAATTTTTAAAATATGCTATAATATTTTTAAAATGTATCTTTGTCCATTTCTTTAATGAAAGTTAATATTAATGCATAGTACTATAAATGGCATTTTGTAAATTTCTTGGTTTAATTGTTGTAGCACATTTAAAAAGATAAAAGAAAGCATTTCATTCTATTATAGTAAGAGTAAATATGAAAATAAACATATACATGAGTTTCTTTACATAAAAATATAACAAAACTTCTAAACTTCTCTGAAATGAAATGTATTACTGAAACTAAATGTGTTTTACCATTATAGTATTTTTTATGCCCTGTAGCATTGTTGTTGTTAATGTGCCTTCCAGTCACCGGACTCATAGCGACCCCTCCTTGGGTTTCGGAGTTGGTATCACTACGGAAGTAGATGGTCCAGACTTCCTTCCGAGGAGTCGCTGGTGGTTTTGAACTGCCAGCCTTCTGGTTAGCAGTCAAGGGCCTTAGGCACTACGCTACCAGAGCTCCTCCTGCAACTTTAGGTCTCTTACATTTAACCCTGAATCCCTTGATGGTGCAAATGGTTAACCATAAAGTTGGTGGTTTGAGTCTACCCAGAAGTTTCTTGAAAGAAAGACCTGGTGATCTAACTTTTGAAAAATTAGCCAGTAAAGATCTTATAGAGCACAGTTACACTCTGCCACACATCGAGTCACCATGCGTCAGAATTGACTCAACAGCATCTAGTTACAGCCAACAGTAATGGAGTGGATGTAGCATTTAAAGGATAACTATAGGAGTCCCTTTGAGTCTCCTCAGGGTTTCTTTTTTTGTAGTTTGAATTGTTATTAAATTGTAGTTTGTTATAATTCATCAGTTAAAAATGTTTAAAA